AAAAAAAAAAAAAAAAAAAAAAAGCAAAAAAATAAACTGAGCATTTTTTCAATTGCCTCAAGACCACATCAAAATTCGTTACCACTGATGGGCCCAGCTCAGTTCGTGCACCCTGGAACTGTTGAAATACAGACTCAACTCCGAATCCAGATGCCCCCAGTAACAGAGAATAAAATCATTCTGAATTGCCCGGGGCCGATTAGTGCAATGATGATATCTCAAGGTCGTCACCCTTGCTAGCGGGGCCATGCTCGAGGAAGAAGGTCCCGCCAAAAAAAAAAAAAAAAACTTAGCATCTTTTGCATCAGGACCACATCATTTTTTTTTATATTTTTTTTATGAGACAAGAAAAGCGATATATGAATCACGTCAATTTCCATCAGTAGCATCACATCGCCCACACATTTTCATCACCATGTAATAAACGTAGCACCCCAACAAACCACCTTAACTTCCATCAGAATTTCTTCCTTCCCCTGTAGCCTAAGGAACACTAAGCGGACTTTTTCGTCCTCTGCTTCGTGCAACCGAAAGTGAAAATCTCTCTTTTTTTTTTTCTCTCTCTCTATGTGTGTGTGTGTGTGTGTGTCTCTCGCTCTCATCTGTCTGTATTCAGATGCGTAAAGAGATCGGAATGAATATGAACGCAAATAGAAGTAACAAGGATAAGGATAAACAGGAAAAAAAAAAAAAAAAAAAAAAAAAAAACAACGATGACCGATCAGAAAGCGTGGAGTCGCACCGATCGATTGATCGATCGACCAATCAAGTTCAAATTGATGACTAATTAATTACTCGCCAGCAAGAGTGGGGCCTTGCTTCAGCTTCTCCCTTTTTGCCTTCTTCTTGGACATGATCTTCTTCTTCCACGATGGAAGGGTTTTTTACCTCCGACGGGAGCGCAGCTGTTGTTCTTTGTTTCATGTGCCATTTCAATTCATTTTCGAATCAGAAAACCATCCATTCATGCAAACAAAAACCCCTTTGTCTTTTGCAAAAAAACATAAAAATTGCGTCACGCGTCGTGGAAAACTTTGCTAGTGTGTCCAATTTGTGTGTGTGTGTGTGTGTGTGTGTGTGTGTGTGTGTGTGTGTGTGAGAGAGAGAGAGAGA